CATCCTGCTGAGACACAGAAGTACGCAACTAGCCTTGCAAATAGAACTTGTGTGCCTGATCCCAGCTTCTGAAAATACTTAGTGTATTCCATGTTAGCAGCATACATGTAGAACAGAGCTTAACAAACTATCTGCAGTCAACAGCTTGAGCCAACTGGCATATACATTTATTAACCAGAGGGTGTCAGCTCATGGGTCGCTGTGGCCTACTGGTTAAGACTGCCAACACAACGTTAGGTAGTCACCTGCACGCCTGCAGGGGATTTGAGGTGGCTGCATGCATGCTTCCTGCATGGGTGGCAGCTGGTACAGAACAAGCACCTCCAGGAGGAAGTAAATTGCTACATGCCAGAAAATAAATAAATAAATAAAGCAGCGGAGCTACAGTAACACACACCAGATGAATGCAGGCATTGACACTGGCCCTGGTCTCCAATGAGGTACAAAGTGCACACATGCATTAACTGTCCTTGCCTCACCCCAGTAAACCCAGGCATAGAGACATTCTGCCATCTCTCGTTTAAAAGCTGAGTAAAAAAAGTAAAACCATCCTAAGTGGTGCTGGACAAGAGAGATGCAACAGGACAGTACTGTATCATGGACTAGTTGCACCTGAGCAGCCCAATAAAGGCCAGCTTGCAATTTGCTTAATAGGCTTTGTAGAACGAGCCTCCCCTTAGGAGTCTGAGTGTGAGGGTATAAAAAAAATGGATTACCAACACACTCTTCCACCCACTTGTCAGAGGTGATTTTCCTGTGCAGCATGTATATCTGACAGAAGTGCTCTACTGAGGAATAAACAGAAACCAGCTCAAAGACAGACAGAAACCAGCTCAAAGTACAGTTTCCCTGACAACACCAATAAGACTGTGAGGCCGTTCATGCTCTGCTCTCTGGATCCTGCTCTCTGCTAGCCTGTCTTCATCTGTGGTGAAAGTACTCAGGTCACCACAGCTCTCCAGGTGCAGGAATCCAGGGTGCCGTCTGAAAGGTAACACACCGTCACGTGATGACATGGCTTGCTGGGCAGGTGTCATCACCTTTAAAAGGAAAAAAAAAAAAAAAAAAAAGAAAATGTAAATCAGATTTGTTTTCAGGCTCTTGTTCCATTAATATGGTTTCTTACCCAACTAGGGAGAAGCTAGTTGTCGTGCTGAGACTAAAACCCGCGTTTTTTTTTAAAGCTGCACAAGAATTAGCTCACCCCAAACCATGGCATGTCAAGTATTGCTTAATAGGAATCTAAATGTTGCTTCCTGCAGAAGTCACTGGACTGTAATAAGCTTCAGGCCAGTGTGATAAATTAAGTTCTCATAAGGAATTTTTTTTTCAGCTGTTTCTGTCAAATTTAAGGCTTTTGTTGCCTGTAGGCTGCAGTGGAAAAATCTCACTTTATCTGCAGAGTCTAAATTAAAATCTTCGATGTGTTTTGTGTGAGAACTCAAACCAAAACCAGTAGTCAAAGCAAATCACTTGTACCAACCATGAATCAACTTGTCTATCCAAATGGTCTGTAAGGTACATTTGTTTGATGAAGTCTGTAATGTCTGAAACTTCTAAATATTGATTCCATTAATGTAAACACATATTTTCTACTTTCTGCTTTTTTTCCTTTAGTACTCTTATTTTTATCCTGGGAGCCAATTACAAAAAGTTGCTTCTAGTGGGTTTACAGACAAATTACCTTGTCAGCCTCCATTCCTTCCAGTTTATAATAGTAAATGCTTTGTAACATGTCTTCCCTCTCCCCTGCCACGCTCAGCATAAAACGCCAGCATGTTATTTACAGTTCATGATTCTACCACAAAAGACCATCTCCTTCAGCTTTTAAATACACATGTATTCAGTCTTCTGAAAGCCTTCCTGGCTTTATGGCTGATAGAGCAAGAGACATCACGGCTGCACAGCCTCTCGCACACTCTCTAAATAAAACTAAAGTACCAAAGGAAGCTAACTGGGTGCAAAAACTTTTGACACACAGAGCAAAGCATGTGTACTCCCAAACCAAGGCCAGCTTGGGTTTCCACATCACCCGATAAATACAAGTAATAAAGCTACCTGCTCAAGGAAGGTGGCACTGGTGACAGCTTCGGCCATATATTTCTCATCTGATTTTAAAACAGACTTGATATTTTCCACCAATTCATGTACGTCAGGGCTCATGCTGCAGGAGGACTGCTCTAGGATCCACGCCACAAGCTGTTTAGTGTCTGTGTAAGACTTGTAGTCTATCAAAGACAGGGGTCTTCCCCTCAAAGCTTTTGCTCTCAAACTCTTCCGCAAGGTGACAGCGCAGAGTGGTGGTCTGACTTCAGTCTGCGTGGCAGCTTCACAGCTGAGCACTGCCCCTGAAGACAAAGACCAAACAAAGCAAACAATCCACTTGGTTCACGGTACTGTTCAACAAGTATCCCCTGAGATTTCCATCCTGATTCAGTGATGATGCAGCACACAGTTTAACCACGTAAAACTTAACAGTCTGGCATGGTCAGGGCAGCACGCAAGGCTCCCTCTGTACTGGATTTACACTAGAGAAAATGCCTGTAAAACAGAGTAGTTCATAGCTATGGTTAAGCATGTATCACATATCAAAGGGTCTGGAAGGACATTTCTGGGAAAGCTGTTTGCCATTTTCTGTACATCGGTTCCTTTCTCTTTTGCTTCTGTTCTGAATAGACCTGAAATGAGCGTTCAGTGTTAATGTTAACACACAGTTATACCAAGCAGGTTAAGCAAAGCTTGAAGGCTTTTATGATCTCTCCTAAACTTTTTGTAACTTCCAGTTATTACCAGTCTAGAGGGCTAGTTACAAAATATCTGAAAATAGTTGCTTGTCAAGCTGGAAGCTAGTAATACTACAAAGTGGAAATTTAATGAAAAAAAATATTCAAAATTACCTTGCAAGGACTAAACAAGGGGCAGCAGAGAATCAATTCCACTGCCTTTGGTCCAAACAAAAATCCACTGCCTTTGGTCTAAATAACAATCATCAGGTTTTGGCCCTGTTAAAAACAACAAATAAGAGCACCTACAGGTCGTTCAAGAAGCACTTCAGCATTGGCTTTATGCCAAACACAACACCAGGAGGAGGTCCAGAACTTTCCAGCAAGACGAGCACTAACTCGCTGGAAGCAACTTTTGTTGTTCTGTTGCAGCCGAGTTCCCTTTCTGCAGCGCTCATGTATTTAACTCTCGGGTCCAGTGCTGCACAGACCTAGCCTCAGTTACACCAAGCCTAAAGTGCCCAAATGCTTCTGACTGATGGGAGTCTCTCTACAGCAGAAACACTCTGCTCCGCTTTCACAGCTATGAATAGGCTCTGTGTCATGTAACTACTGCTTCAGCAGCAGATTCTCCGGGGTGCTGTGGTGGAAGTTGGTTGGAGGAAAAGAGAAAACACATGATGTAGCAGACACATAAAAACATTCCACAAAATAGTAAGTGTAATCCAGACAGGCATGCTCCCAATATTCAAAGTAAATAGTTGCTACTAACATGCTCCCTCCCCGCTTACATTTTGTGAGTGCTAATATGTATCAGCAGCTACTATAGGGATTCTAATGTCCTCTAATAAAAACTGCAAGACTCTTGACTAGTGGATTTTTGAGAGTGTCAACAGACTCAAGGACTCTGCAGCCACACTAGCAGTTTTCCCACAGCCACTGAATTGGATCACTGACACCAAAGCAGCTGTGACAGACTTCACTGGCTCTCTGCTGTGGGTTTTTTGTGTTGAGTTCTTGGGTTTTTTTTGATGCTATGAGGAGCAAGAAAAGGGGTGCAAATTTATAGGCTAATACCAAATACCCAAGCTAACTGTGCTTTAAATTGCTCACATTGACAACTGCCCTTGCAAGCTTTTAGATGCCAGTGTATGAATACACTGAAAAATACTATGTGCTCCCTCCTCCTCATCTCCCACCATCCCTCCCTCCTCCCCAAACTAGCAATGCCTGCTACAGACCCTGTTCCTAGATGTGAAAGCCAAAAGAGCAGCAAGACTGAGGTGTTGGGTGGATAAGATTTGGCAAAGCACAAACCGTTTGCTGTAATGTTGATACTCTGTTGGGCAACAGTAGCTGATTTCTGCAGATATTAGGTTCAAGGTATGAACCTTCTGACAAATGTTCTTTTAAGGACTCATTACACAAGCACTGATAGAGAAAATCAAGTCACCTTGAAGCAACCAGCAGTGCAGCACAGGGTCACTTTTAGACCATTTACGCAAGGGATTGAAGGCTCTCCTGGCTCCTTCTGCAGGCAGCAAGCTTGCATTAAAAGGTGAAAGGCTCGCTCTGCTGGAAGACTCAGGAATTTCTTCACCTGCGCAATCAGGAATAGTAAAGGTGAAGAAAAAGTAGTCAGAATAAAGCAGATCTGTAGAAGCCATTATTAGAGATTATTACTGATTTTTTTAACGCCCCCTCCCCCCAAGCTGTAATGATTGGACACAAAAGCCTAGAGGTGTGTGTATGTGTGCATATGCCCACACTCACCAGTAACACTGTTCTAAGGCCTGCTTAAACATTTGCAGAAACCTGTTCAGCCTTATACCACTGGAGCAGAAAAAAAAAAAAAAATACAGCTTTGCCTAGGATAAACCTCACCTTAAACTACCTGATCAGAGAGAAGGGAGCTAAAGCTTTCTTAGAGAGAAAACTAAATCTCACAGAGCCTGAAATCCTCCTGCATATAAGCAGTTGTATCAAGATATGACAGCATATGGTCACAAATGTCAGTGACTGTTTGCAAATAGATAGCTTGTAAATCCAGTCCCAGGGAATTAAAAATCTTGTTTCATGAGGTTCTTTATTAAAATAAAGATTTTCCTGAATTCTTGTGATGTGTTTCATCTTTCCAATTAATCAACATTCCTCCTGTTCCTTAGGGTGAAATTATATGCTGCGATTCCCACAACTGCCTTTTAGTGAACACGACAGGATGAAGCTGCATATTTCTCACCAAGCCTGGTTCTATACCTTCACCTGATAGCACCTAGCATATTACAGGAAACAATCAGAATCATAGAATCGTCAAGGTTGGAAAAGACCCTGAAGATCATCGAGTCCAACGGTTAACCTAGCACTGCCAAGTCCACCACTAAACCAGGTCCTCAAGCACCACGTCTACCCGTCTTTTAAATACCTCC